TTTGAAAGAAATAATGAATTTTTTTTTAATTTATAGAAACGGTAGCAAAACTTAACCCAGTCATGTCTGTAAGCATTAAGAGATAAAAAAAGGATGCCACTTTACCTTGCAGAGAAAATTCAAAACTAGGCGATTAAATTAATAGGTAATAATATAAGAAATAACATTCTATATGAAGTTAAACTGATGTGAGCCATCAGGAGCAAATTTCTGTTTGCATATGAAATGTTAATTTAAAAAACAATCGATTTAGTGTTGAAGAACGTTTCTTAACATTCCATCCTGTAAGTATACAACAGGTGCAGGTTTAAATAACTTTTTACTGAAAGCTTAAAAAATTGTGGTTTAGATATTTATAGTACAGTAAGGATAGGATAAAATAGACAAGGATAGGAAAATAGTTGTAATATGAAGGAAAACAATAACATGTACACAAAAGAATTTTTTTCTCAAATATTAAAGGAGCTATATAATTTTTTTTTCTGCCTCAACCAATCACTGGTCCGTTTTGAAAAGTAACATTTCAAATTTAACTTTAAAACCTTTATCGGATATCAGATAGTCTAGCAGAATTGATGTAACTTATTACATCTTGGGGGCTTACCCCCAAGATTTCAGATAGGCGAAATTTGCGATGTTTTTAGGAAATTTTGTATGGAAATAATTTTGAAAACACTACAAAACATGTGGATACTTCTCGAGTTAAAGAAATTGAAAATTATAAATTTGTATGTACGTTAGTGTTGTGGTACAAGGTACTAATTTGTTGCTTCTTATGGCTTTATTCGGAAATCAGTCTTATTTAAGAATTACAGCACTAAAATTTTTACACTACCGAAAAGTTTTACAACTAAAATCTTAAAAAGTCCTCAGTGATTACAGGCGAAACAACCGTGTACTCAGGACATAAGATCCCTGGCTATCAAATACCGCTGCAGAACAGAATTTGTTTTTACTCATTTGTTTCCTCACCTTTTCCTAAATCATTTGTATTTTAATTGCAGTAAAAACAGCACGGCTTAGTCACTGCGGCTAAGACCAAAGCAGTAGGAATGCTTGCCCGTTTTAAATAATTATTTTTATTCTACTTACCACCATAATTTGTGTCTCTTTTCTTTGAATTTATTATCAAATTAAAAGCTTCCTAACTCTCAACTTCTGATTTAATGAATTCGAAAAGTTCTGTTAGTCTATACCGCTATTTAGCCTTTCGTTTTCTACTAAATTGAAAATCCATATCATCCCGTAAAAGTTTTAAAATAAGTAGTCTTAAAAGGCTCCATAAGCTTCCTACACAATACCCAAACAATTTGAACTTCTTATATTGATTTCACAGGAATCGTAAATTGTTCCTAGTGCTTTCACACTGGACGAACTTCTAACAGGTTCAAGATTCAAGAATTTGTTCATGTGCGAAGAAGTAACCAAATTTGATCGTCCAGACCTTTCTTTGATTAAATTTATACATTCTTTTTCTATTTCGGACTCATCCCTTTTAAAACAATCCAATACTTTTTCATTTATTTCGTTTAACTCACATTTTTTTAGAATAAAGCAAAAACAAATTTTCCTCTACCATATTTTTATCCCATATGACTTTTAAATTTCAGGTTATAAAATAGTTATTATTTTAGAAATAGCTTGTCTCATAATTTTTCTAGCGGCTTCTAATTTAACGATATCGTTTGCCATAATAACAACAAACAAATAGTTTTATTCCCTTACCTGGTGCAGTCTTTACGTAAACATTCTGAATCTAGTATGTGCTTGTTTATGTAAATCATCCTATCCTGTTCATTATGAGGGAATAATTTTTTAACGCACGTATCATGGATACTGCGTCATTTAAGGTTAGCGTCCGCTTCTAAAATGCATTCTGAAATCTCGAAAAGACTGTTCGTGTGCAGCTGTTGCGAGCCAAAATATATAATAAATGATTAAAATCTAAAAGTTCTATGTGATCAGGGTTCAAGAAATATTATTTAAAATCAAAATGCAGCATAATTAAAAGCTAAAGAACATACATATCAGGTTTCAAGCTTCAAGGTTTATTCCTGTCCATTTACCTTACTGGCGTTGCCATATCCAAAACACAATACATGCATCATGAAGCCTTTGCGCTGTCTAAAGGCAATTAAGGTAGATTTTCAGACAAAATTTCTTACAACTTCTACTAAATTCTGCCACCCGACGCCTTAATAAATTCGAAAATTTTCCTCACCCCTAAATTCTGTCGCCCGTGTAGCCACACGGTTGCATCGGCTCTGGATATATCTGTAAATTGATATTTTTAATCTATGTCTACTTCATTTTTTAAAACTACAGTTGATTAATTATAAAACTACCTTTCTTTTATTCCTTTATTAAAAGTTTATTAAAGCCAAATTTGGGAAAATATTTTAACCTGTTCGCATTGTGTTCTGCGTGCATCTCCAGCAGATATAAGCTGCGTTTAGTAAGTGAAAATAGCATATCTATTATAAATGAAAGATAAAGCAGGCTATTTATGGAAAATATAACTTATGCATCATGGAAGAATTTATGGATTAGTTATTTTGAAATGCTAACTAACGGGGAAATCTTTTAAGAAATTTTTATATCGGATTTAAAAAAATCTTGTGCCATAAAAAGTATTTTATGCACAAAAGTATTTTATGAAGCGAAGATTTAAATGTAAAATCATTTCTAGAAAATTCAGTTTCTGGTGAGATGCCCCAACCTAAATAGATTAAAATAAAAATAAATCTATAACATTTACTATAATAATTATTGAATGAAATGTGAAGGTTTTTAAAACATATTAGTCACTATTTAAATTTTATTTCCAAAAAAATGCATGTTCTTTTCCCACTGTCTTGATGTGGTTGCCTCAGAGGGCGCTTGATGTAGAGTGATAATCGTAATCGCGTGTATCACGTAATTTGGATTGCATTCCTGCAAAAGTGCAATAAATAAACAGAAGCTGTGATTTTTTTGCCTTAATACATATTTTCCAATAGCTACACCATTGTTCAATACTCGGAATGATGGTTTGCAGCATTTCAATGGCGTGGTTGACGTTGGCTGATTTTACCGCTAAGACGGTATCATCTGCATAACAGGCTAGGGTTGCATTGTTGGTAAGTTGCACCCTATCGAAGGGTGCTACGCAAAACAGATAGAGTACAGGGCCGATTACCGAACCCTGGGGCAATCCACTTAAGATTTTTCTGGAAAAAGATAAAGCGTCTTCAACGGAAGTCCTGAAGGTTCTATTCGAGATGAAAGAAAGGATGAGCAGTTCTCGATCTAATTGGAGATTAATGAGCTTGGCAATGAGTCCCTCATGCCAGACGGGGTCGAAGTCTTTCGCCACGTCTGGCATGAGAATAGCAACATTCATTTTGGAGCGCAGGGCTACCCCTGCGAACTCTGTTGTCTTCACGAGCTGTTTTGAAGTGGATAGATGTTCACGAAATCCAAACTACTCGGAAGGTAGGAGCTTGAAGTAAAGTTTCATTCTTGCCAGTATTACACGTTCGAACATTTTACCTAGACCAGGCAAGAGGCTGATCTGTCTATAGCCGTCAGGTTCTACATGACTCTTACGCGGTTCCGGTATAATAATGATGTTGGCCTCTTTCCATTGGTTTGGAAAGTATGAGTTTGCGAGACATGCATTCAAAATGCTGGCAAATTTGCATATAATATTTCTGGGCAGATTTCGGATGGCTTCGTTAAGGATCCCGTCTAAGTCAGCAGCCTTTTTAATTTAAGTTTTCTGATGATATCCAACACTTCAAGGGGAATAGTCAAACTAATTAAATTATGTGCATTTGACGAATTTAGTCAATCGCACACCTGGAGGAGTATTTTGCCTTCAAACTCTTGATCGTTCGTCAAATCGTTTGGAGTGAACTATAGTTGTTCCGCTTTTTGCTGTCGCTACTTGGTTCAGAAAATGCAGGGGCCAGTTACTCTGAAAGGATGCTTTAAGATTTTTGACCAATTTCCAAAAAGAGCCCTCTGGAAGTTCCAAATTTTGAAATTTATCAGTTCATAACTCGTCTCTATGCAGTTTAATTAATTTCTGAATGTCCTTATTGAAACGGTTAATTTCCCACTTGGCCGCTGGATCCCATGTTAGACGGTATGTCTTCCTCAGTTTGTTGCGATAACACATCATGCAGCGGATATATTGGGGGAATTGAAAATTAAGTATCCGATCTTTCATGAAGTTTTCAAATAGGATTATCAAAATAATTTTTTTTAACTGAAAGTCGCCAAGTAAATACAAAATGCATTATAAAAATTTTCCAAGTTACAGAGAAATGTTACCAACCAAGGAATACTTTTCTAAATATCTCAGTTTCGATTTTCGTCATTCATTTAAAACTAAGCAAAGAAAACTCCGTTAGCTTGACGTAGATTTTTAATAACTCTGTCGATTTTCATGGGATCAGACACAGGTTTTACTACTCAGAAGGAAAGGAAATGTAGGTAGAATTATATTTTTTCCTTGGAAAAATAACCTGAAAGCATTTACTCCTAACAAAGTTTGCTTTTTTTGCCTAATTATGAATTTTACACTAGAAAGTTCTCTTCCAATGATGGATGGCCTCCGAGTATTAAGATTGGTTGTACAGTATCGATCAAATGATTTCCACAAAAGTTATGAACTTCTCTTAAACCAATTTTTTTGTATTAAAGACATTATGAGAAGCTCATAAACGAATTTTTGCATTTTGTTAATTAAATGCTGTGAAAGTTCCTATTTATACGTTTCTAAAAATATATTTGCACTAAATTAGTTAATTCCATGTTTGTTATGAGGGATATTCTTACTCATTGTTTAATGTTATCATTCGATTAATGTTGTCAAAATAAAATAGCAGTGAAGAAAGGCGATCGCATTAAGCGGCACCTACAGTACATAATTCTTTTCTTCCTCCTTGACGTTCTGTGTAGGGAATTAAATTAAACAAAAATTTTAATTTCTTTTTCATTTTTCATGATTGCAGATGAAACAGGAGAAGGCGAAAATCACAGAAAGAAGTCAAGAAGAAATCGCACTACTTTCACAACTCATCAGTTGAATGCTTTAGAAAAGATATTTGAAAGAACTCATTACCCCGATGCTTTTGTGCGAGAAGAATTAGCAAGAAAAGTCAATTTAAGTGAAGCGAGAGTTCAAGTGAGTTGAGGCGATTTTATTTTTCAGAGTCCTTTATTTTAAAATGAAGAAAACTTTCTAAATATTTTCCTCGAATTCTCAGAAAACTCGGCAACCTTTTAATCGACATCATGCAGACTATTACACATAATATATTTTCTTCATTTTGAAATATTTGAAATAGGCATACTTACAAGTTTCATAAGCAAATATGCCTATTTGAAGCATATTAAAGTATGCTTACACATCTTGTTATGTTTAGTTTTCAACGACAGGTATTTTAAATTTGAAGTTTGTTGATTAAAGAAAATGTAATAGAAATACATATCACAGAAGTTGTTTACATAGCATTTTTCATAACATTTTCGAAATTACGAAATAGAGAATGTAATTTTCTATTATTTACTGTGTACATAAAACTTCTGTTAGCATATTTAATACTTATTAACATAAAATCTAGTTTGATTATACAGTGAATTACCCCGTGCTTATGAAACGTTATTTCAGTATTAAACTACGACTTTTAATCTTGCATAATGTTACTTTTATACTAAAAGTAATAAAAATTCTTATTAATCTGAATGCTAACTTAAGAGAAAAAGAGGTCCTGAATACTAGCCTTCCAGGATCTGAGGCTCTAGGCATAAAATGCTTTTAAGGGGCTCTCATCGCCCATTTTTGACTTTTTATAAGGAATTATTCGGCTTCTTTAAACAGGGTAGGTCCAAACCTTGAGAGCATAGGTAGTTAGCAAGCTTTCCTTTAGTACGCCATTTCTCAATTTAAAGCAAATTTGGTTAACTTATCTTAACAGAGACTAAAAAGTATCACAGATATACGATAGCCATATAAGTTTTTCAAGCAAATGAAGATTAATAGATATATCACATATCGGAAAAATGTAAAGTTATGAAAACAAATTTAAAAAAATAAACGGGACTAAACAAAAGTAGATAAAGATGAGGAACAAAATAGCGAACTAAACAAAAGTAGATAAAGCATCATATACAGCCTTCTGATTCAGTGTGCTGCACCAAGTGACACATTATAATCTAAAGAAAAACAATTCCTGACATTCTTATTATGGAAAATTATTGTTATATTGTGCAAGAAATTGAGCCCATCAGCAGCTGAGTGGTTAAGTCACTGAACTCTGGTAATTCGATCTGGGGCTCGAATTCCGGCAAACGGGTTGGCTTCATGGCCATTCTGATGGTTTTCCCCAAGTGCAATGTGTATACGAGCCAGTTTCCCTTAGAAAGCCCTCCACGAAGGCATACCTTCTCTTAGGTAGGTAGCCCTGCAGTTCTTTGCCATAATCAAATAAACCTATGTATAAGAAGTAAAACATAATCTAGAGTTCATAAAAAAAAAAAAAAAAAAAAAAAAAAAAGATCGTCTTGTGTAGCAAGGCAAAATTAAATCTTTTCAAAATGAATTATTTGAATGGGCAAAATTTGCTTTGAAATACAGTTTCTGCTGCAGAAAGAACATGCTGATACACATATCAAAAGATTTAAGATCACATACACAAATATTTGCTATATTTATATTAATCTCATTAAAATTTTCGTAGAAAATGCCTTACAGTTATTCGATTAGTTTATAAGAATCTATCCTCTGATTAAAGAGATCCATTTAATTAAGGCGTTTGAGTTATAGTGTTTTCGAGGAATAGCGTAAATTAATTTTCTATTAGCAAAAATATTATTTATATAGCCTACATTTAATGTAGCTTTAACTTGCCATTAGGAGGAAGCACATAAGTGTATTTCAGTGTTAAGATTATTGAATTAACCTAGTACTGTCATTTTTCCTATACTGTGAATAACTGGTATATTTTTTCCTGGGAAAATCACTGTGACATTATCATAACCACTGTGTTATTTGCTCTAATGTCTGTTTAAATAAGTTACCAGCAGTTTGACATATATATTTACACACAATCTAAAGCTACTTCCTGAATGTCAAAGTTTGTAAAATTATACAGTCTGCGATATTGTCCTCATAACAGAAAGTTATAGCCAAGAAAAAATTAATTAGTAAATATATAAAAGTCTGGGCTTCATATTTTAACTTTAGTTTTATCAGCGTAAGTTGATAAACTGTATCAAAGCAATTGCTTCGACACAGTATATATAACACAAAAAGCAGTTTTATGTAACATATGCAATCAAAGCATTCATTTTAACAAAATTTAATGTTACATCTAAATTTGGTTTTAAAAGTTTGGCTTGTATCTTTTGCAGGGTATGTGCAAGTTTTGCACACAAGAAAAGATCATTAGTTTTCTCCGAAACATTGGACATAAAATAAGGATATTTGCACCAATTTCAATTCCAATAAAATAAAAAAAAACTCAACTTCGGTATCAAAACATTCTATAACGATAAATTCTTGGTTTCCATAAATATACGAAATTTGCAGATTTTAACGCTTTCTCATTGTATGTATGAACAAAGAGTATGATGGAGCCAGTCGCATGCTAGCTTTACTAATAGAAGTACTTTACAGGTAAGAAACCAATTTTCTTATCACAGAACAGCAGATGTAATTAATTAACTAGTTTTTATTGAATGTTGACTTTGACTGAGAGAGAATACTTGCAGCACAATGCGGAGACATCGCAGCAGAATCGTGTTACGGTCGGTTGTCTAAACTCATAGTTGTTCGTCTAATTCAGATGCTTCGCTCCATTGTGCGGCACAGCAATATTCTGCGAAAAGGAGGAAACACGCCGCAAAGTTTGGACTAATGCCACTAATTGCTTCTAGCGGTAGGACAAGAAGGACGCCATCAAGATGGTATCAGTGGCCCCTAATGCTCCATGTGCCACGGATGAATGCGAGACTAATCCCTTATCTCTTGGATTCCTTTTCGCTCCCATCAGATAGACTAATATTTCCTCTCACACGTGTTGCTTAATTCTTCACGCCTTTTTCAAACAGTGCAATGTCTAATTTAACGCAGAACACTTCATTAACAATTACCAGAAATATTTGGCGTAACTCCTCCAACGGCGGTTGTATTCCAAGCCAGAGCTTCAGTTAATAGTGCTATTGAAATACTTCGTCGCATATTTCATCTTGATTTATCTAAAAAAATGTGGATGAATACTGATATATAAAACATGAAACAAAAAATGCCCAAGACAGCGCAAGGAATAAAGGAAATATGTGAAGCAAATTAATACTGTTTATTTGCTAAATATGTTCTTATGTTATATGCTAAGACATTTAAAGTAAAATTTTACTAATTTTAAATGAATTTATTAATTCTGATATTAATTACCAAAATCAGGATTTTTAAACAAAGCGAGAAGGTAGTGAAGATATTTCATTTCAGAGCAACTTAAAATTCGTTTTTACAGATTTTTGTACATGAATAATTATTAAATTGCAGCTACATTAAACTGTTTTAATAAACTTCTGTTTTTTTTTTAACTACTTCTCCCTTTTTGTGAATTTAAATTTCTTTCTAGGAACTTTGAACAGTTTGCATATACAAATAGAAATTATGTTAAAATGTCTTGAGAAAATAGCATGCATATAAAAGGAACTTTAAGTTTCTTTCCTTGCCTTACATCTCTTTATAACAGTAAGTAGCTTTCGAAAGCTTTCATGATTTGTTTATCTTTAGTTTAAATGAAAGTAAGTTATTTAATGATTAATTAAGCATAGTGGAATTACTTAAAATAAATATTTAGCTATCAATATGTCTGACACACAAAGTTCTAACGAAAGATTTCAGATTGAAAATAAGTAGAAACCTGAATTTTTCCCTTTGCTTTATTATTATTATTGCTTATATATGTTTTATTAAATGCTTAATAAGAGAACTCTAAAATTTAGTTTATTTATTTATGGACAAAAATTTTCATCCTGATAAAAAAAATTTTCCCGTTAGCTGTTTTCAGGTCAGGCATTAGCCCGCATGCAATTTGTGAGTGAGACCACTGCTGTAATACATACGTAGACACTGCAGAAATAAAAATTTCTATATGATGTAAAATATATATATTTCTAATTTATAATCAACTCCGAGTTTATCGGAGTAATACTGGAGTACTGTACAATTTATTATTCACTTAAATCAAGCTTAATCCAAGAGCAATTAAAAAAACTCAGGAAAGAGGAATAACCCCAGTTATAATTAACACAAAAGTACTGGTAAAAATTTACCTGCAATTTCAAGCAGTTTAATCTACGAAATAACTTCGTATGGTAAAGTAAATTTAATAATAAAACGAACGCGATGTAAATAACGGAGATTAAGCATCATTACAAATAAAAAGACTAAATTAAAAATTACATAAAACCAGAAAGCTTGAAAAATGTTATCGGGTTCAAACTCGAGGGAAAAAGTCGATGGATGATAACTCCTAAATCCTTTGACACCATCTACTATCGTTGCTGCTATCCCAAATATTTTGCTTCCTTTTCTCATATTTTCCGTAAACAATTTTATTTTACGCTAATGATTTGTGACAATTTTTTCATCATTCCATTATAAACAAATTCTCCAGTTAATCCGCAAGGCAATTAGGATCAGGATTTGATTGCAGTCTGTTGGTGTCAAGTCATTGACACCAACATTGAGTTTAATCTGTATTATTAACAAAAATATTAATACCCCTCAAATTTTCAAGTTTCTTCAAAGCTTTTTAGATTCTTTTATCTGTAACTTCACAGACAAGGTGAACCGTAATTCAGTAAGCGTTAAAAAAACTGTATTTTTTATGAATTCGGATGTATAATAATAAGGAAGTTAGCATAGAAATGCACAAAACTGAGAATTTCTATAAAAATTTTCGTTTTGTACATTTTTGATTATTCAGATCTCTAGGAGATGATCCCTATCAGGAAAATTGTCATAAAATATAAGCTATTCTAAGAAGTGCAAGGAAAAAACTAATACAATATTGGATTTATAATCATCACGGGATAAAACAATCTTAAGGAAATATTATTACGTAACAAGGAAACAGCAACTGTAGCTTTTACGATCTTTCTTTTAATAAG